GCAGACGGGCCCCCTCTTGGAGACCTCCATGCGCAACGCCGGCCGGCGGGCGGGAGAGCCCCGCTGCCGCCGCCCGCTGCCGCTCGCCGGAGCCCCGACGGCGGCGGGCACTCGCCGGGGTCTGCGGCTGGGAGCCGCCCCCGGCCCGGGGCCGCCCCGCCCGCCCCCTCCCGGCCGCGGCGGCGGCGCGGGGAGCGGCGGGGCGCACGTGCGCCCGCGCGGGGTCCGGCCCGCGGCGAGGCGCGCGGCGGCGCGGGGCTGCGGGGGCGGCGCGGGGCCGGGGCGGCCGCGCCAGGGGAGCGGCGCGGGGCGCGCGCGGCGGCGCGGGGGGCACGGACACCCCCCCGAGCCCGCCGGGACGGGCCCCGGGCGCGGCGGCGGCGGCGCGCTCGTCCCCGCCGGGCGGTCTCCGGAGAGGCCAGCGGCGGCCGGGCGCGCCTTGCCTGCAGCCGGAGCCATTCATTCCCCGCCCCTTTGTTCGCCCTGAGAGTAACGCTGTGAATTAAAAGAAATGACAATATTTCGTATCTGCTCGCCAGGCCAGGAGAAGGGCTCTTGAGCCTGGCAAAAATCAGGCGGATCATTCATCGTGCCACCCCGCACCTGTGGGCTTGGCATTGAAAACCCCGCGGACCTCTTCCTATTCAACTTAATTATTCCCCTAAGGCGCACAATGGTTGAAATGGAGCAGGTTGGAGTCTGTTTATTGGTCGTAAATGTTTTTCTGAAGATCTTCTGAATCTCATTGTTAGCTCGTTGTTTGAGGCTGCCCTCTTTCTTTCAGACGAGAGTAGCCTTGGACTTTTCAATTTTCAATCGTAACATCTGCTTAATCGTACGGATCAAAATATGGAGACACAAAACATATGTAATGGTTGATTTGTTAAATCCTGGTAATGAGTTATTAACAAGGGAAAACAATAGGGCAGGATGGTGAGAGCCTTATGGTAACAGAGTCACTTTATGCAACGCCTGACGTTTCCCTTCTTGATAAATGGAACTAAGGTCTGAGCGCCAGGTGATAGCAAGAAAATCAATGTCTTTAGGGGCCGGCACCGAGACTTTTTTTCTATGTGAAAAATTAGGAGACATAAAATTTAATTGGCTGATCAGGGGAAAGCAGTGGTCTTAAGTTTAATTGCCAGTAGGCTTAGCGAGGGAGACAAAACAAGATTTGGGCCTGTTTGTTTGCTTGCATCCCAGCGCCGAGTCCAAGTGTATCGTTGAAAATGTGTTTTATTATAACACATGTCATGCTTTACAGTTCCCATATTGTGTAAAGACAATAGTTAATGGTACATTAAAGACAAGCAAACCATGCCAACACGTCTTGGACACATTGTAAGGGCCTCTCTCTTTGCTCGCTTTAGGCAGCTGCAGTCCAGGACCCAGAAGCACAAAAAGAACAAGTTTGAAATACCAGGTGCATCCGAGAGAACCACGACAGGGATTGATATGTTATAGCCCAGGACATGAACCTAGCAATAAAGATATCATTGCGATTGTTTGCGGCTTCCACGCCATGTAAAGCCGGAGGCGCCGGAGCAGGCTGCTTTCTGGCAGCGGAGCCTCTGCCTCCCCGGGCTCCCCCGGCGCCCTCCGCCAAACCCGAGCACCTGTTGGCCAGACCCCGGCCCCGTCGTGGGAATCGCCTCCCGCCCACGCTTCCAGGTCTCGGCAGCGCGGTTTGTTGTGGAGTTATTTAGGACCATTCCCACCGGCTGCGGGATGCTTTGGAAAGCGGGAGGTTTACCAGGGGACACTCAACTGGTGTTTGTTCGACCTCGCAGCTGGTACTCGGTGCCAGCGAGAGATGCGTGAATGAAAAAGGGATGAGATCCCGGGCTCGGGAGGCTTCACGCCCCGCGCCTCGCAGGGCGCTCACCCGACTGCCGGCAGATGAGAGGCCCTGGGAACCGCGGCGGGACAGGTTCACAGTGCCCACGGCAGCCCCTGCCTGCGCACAGCTCTGCCGAGAAGTCACGCACACCTTCCCATCCCTTCGCTGGTTGTGCAGAGGAGCGGTCTGATGCTCCCCTTCCTTTGGGTGGGGGGCTTGTTGTTTTTTGGGTTTTGTTTGTTGTTTTGGTTTTTCAGGTTGGGGTTTTTTTTGTTGTTGGGGTTTAGGGTTTTTGTTTTGTTTTGTTTTTTACAGAGGATTGTCGGTTTCGGTAACTAAGTCGTCTTTACACCTGGGGCATCATGAGTGATGCTGGTTCCGGAAGCACAGCGTCACTCCGCACACCTAGAACCCGCACCTCCCTCCTGTGAGACTGCGGGAAGCGAACTGCCTGCGAGTGCCTTCAACACTCCCTCCTACCCCAAGAGGGCTGAGGGTTTCACCCCCGCTTTTGTTCTCTTCTCCCCTGCTTTCCAGCTCCCGCGGGGCTGCGGGCAGCGGCCGAGGGAGGCGGGACAGTCCCGGCTCCCGGGCGGGCCTCCCCCGCCTCCCCGGGCCGCCGTCGGGGCAGTGCCGGCGCAGAGGGGTGGCCCCACGGGAGCCGGCGCGGGGCTTCAGGAGCAGAGCGGGGGCTCTGGGAGCGGGGCAGGGAGGCGGGGAGCCGCCGCCCCCGGGGCCTCGGGGGGCAGCGCTAGAGGGTGCAGCTCCCGGCCGCGGGGAGGAGGGGACAGGCGGTTGAGAACCGGGTTTGCGTGGCTGTCAGTCACGCCTTCCCCACGCTGCTCCGTACCGCTGCGAGCCGTGTTCCCCACCAGCAAACCCCCCAAAGCTGCCGCAAAAGCTGCGAGCCGGCGTTGCGGGAGCCGCCGGGTCCCGCCGGGCCGGGGGACCTGCACAGGCGGTTCCCTCCTGCCCTGTGCGGCGGATTTTGTCGCAGGAGCTCGGCGCTGGGGTGAATGGATGATGAGTCAGTCAAAAGGAGCTGTCAGTCTCTTTGAAGATTGCGTTTAAAGGGACTTGCCAAGTCAAGACGGGAGAGTGACAAGATAGAGACCCTGGTGCTTTACATGCGAAGGCCGGCTCTTCCGCTTCATCTGCACCATACTAAAGGATGTGTTGAAGCATTGAATCACAAAAAAGTGGCACGCCAAAGAAAAGGTGCCACATAACAATGATTGTAGTGTTTTAATTGTGGGGGATCGCATCACCAAAGCCAATTGAGACGAACGAGGCTATACAGAGAAGGAAACGGTACAACACTTCCATAACTTATAATTAAACTGAAGTCCGACTAACATTTGACTTTCTAATGAGTGTAATGAGATTACATGCCTGATGGAAGCATTTGTGAAAAAGCGACTTTCTGTGTTTAATGAGGTCCTAATACAGGACAAGATCGAATTATAGGTCGGCTCTTTTTCTCTCAAAGAGCTCCGTTTAAGTTCAATGACACCGGTGCCGCCCGCCTGCCGACGGACTGGGCGAGGCTTGCAGCCGGTCAGCCCCGCCGCAGCCCGGAATCTCACGAAAACTGACCAAATAAATAAGCAATAACCCCCCACACCCAACCCCCGCCCCAGCCCAGCCTCGGCGTGTTTGTGTGTGTAAGTAGCTCCTCTAATTGCTATTGGAATAGATCCATGCCATCCGCGCTAGGGAACTAAATGTGTTTAACTAGGTTAATGCAATTAGCATGTATGCAACATATTGCTCCCACTTCGCGGTAGTTTATTTTTTTTTTTTTGGGGGGGGGGAAGGGGAAGCGACGTACAGTAAATGATAAGTTGTAATTATCACTTGGCTCACCCGGACCGTTCCCATCCGCCTGGGCACCGCGCGGGAACAGCTCTGCTCCGGCCGCGGGCCGGGCTGGGCATCTGGGACTCTGCCGGGGGCTGAGCCGTCGGGGCTGAGCCGCGGGTGCCACGGGAAAATCAGCACCTGCGGCGTCCGGCCGAGCCCCCCGCCCAAGCCCCGGGCCTCCCCCCCGCTCCCGCAGGGAGCATTTGCAGCCCCCGGCCCGACCGGCCCCTGTCGCCCCCACCCCTCGGCCCCGGGCAGGTGCAGCCCAGCCGTCCCTTCCGCAGCCAGGCACGCTGAGCTGGAGCTACCAGAGCGGTTCTACCACCAGTTGCACGATGGCGTTGCCATCCCCCTATCCCCCCCGCCCCAGCGGCAACCCCAGGAGGAGCGTGGGGTCTGTTTCCCAGGCGCGGCCGGGGGAAGAACCGCGGAAGACCAGGGGCAGCCGGCAGAGCCCCAAGCCTGCCCGGTCCCCAGCCTCATCCTTCCCTCCCCGGCAACTTTCAGAACAGCTTTGTACAGCTCCGGATAGCGCGCCCATTCCCATGGCGGCGGGGTCAGGGGCACAAGGCGGGGGACACACGCCCACCCTCTCAAGGTTTGTGTTTGGGGGCTCGGATCTTCCAGCTGGAAACCACAAGCAGCGCTGGGACATTGAAAGGAGGGGACCTTCTAGAGATAGACAAAGACATCAGTTGGAAGCACTTCAGGAGAGGACGTCAAAAGGGGTGGAGAGAAGGCGAAAGTGTGTCCCCGCCCGTCCCCGTCCCCCCGGCGCTATAAGAGCAGCCCGAGCCGGCGATGGGGCAGTGGGGCCAGCGTCTGGGCCTAGGGTGCCACTGGGTCTCGGGGCTCACCCCGCCTGGTCCAGGCGTTCATTGCAAGGCTTCCTCGGGATATGGTGGGGCTCTCGGAAACCGCTACCAACAAATATACTGCTCCACAACGTACAATTCGGGTTTATTATTAACAAAACACAAGGAGAGTCCACGTGCGGCAATAAATTATTTTCACGAGTTCTGGCATATTTCCCCCATTAAAAAAAAAAAAAAAAAAAAAAAAAAAAAAAGGTGCTGGTGGAAAAAACCTATTGCATATCTTAAAAAAAAATCAAGATAAATTATATAAATTATATATTCAAAACAGACGATTCTACCTCATTATCACTACTTCGTAATAAATACATAAATAAAGTTGATTGCCCTTAGAGTCTGAATCTTAAATTACATTTACAATATAGGTCTCTACATACAGCATGTACAGAGCGGGAGGGGGCGGGGACCACCCGCGCGGCGCCTCACGCCACGTAGTCGAAGGGGGGCTCGTTCTCTATGTCGTTGACGGAGGGTTTGTTGTTCACCTTCCGCGGGTCCTCGGGGGTCCACACTTTGGCTGTCCGGATGATGTTTTGTTCCTTGAGCTGCTTTTCATCAGTCCACGACAGCGAGTGACCGGCCAGAGGGGGGAGTCCGTAGTCGGGGTCGCTCGGGGAGGGAGATCCTGGAGGGCAGGAGGGAAAAGGAAGGCAGGGGGTTATTGCAGGGGCCGGCATTCCTGCGGAGCGCGGTGCCGGGCCGCGCCTGGACGTACCGTGCCGTGCCGGCCCGCCACTTACTTGTGCCGCGGTGGCAGATGATGATTTTCTTGGGCTGGCTGGGGCTCTCGCTGCTGGAGCTGCGCAGCGGCAGGTCGGACTGCACCAGTTCGCTGAGGAAGTTGATGTAGCCGATGGCCAGGCGCAGCGTGTCCACCTTGGAGAGGCGCTTCTCGTAGGGCAGAGTGGGAATGTGCGAGCGCAGCCCCTCGAAGGCGTCGTTGATGGACTGCATCCGCCGCCGCTCCCGCACGTTGGCGGCCTGCCGGAGCTGCTGCAGCTCCGCCTCGGAG